ATTTTATTAAAGATGAAAGAATTTAGACAGTTTTTAACTCTCAGGGATGCTGCAGTGTTCGTTTGACTTTGGGACTTGAAGTGGACGGAGTTTAAGACCCAGATTTACGGGTGCCTTATACGGCAATAACGACGGCCTGCTTGCATGTTCTACAGGGGAAAAAAAGTGCTTTGTTGTGTATCTGATGGACAAACACCAAACCAGTTCCACATCACTGAAGTGGCACCATTTTTACAAACTAATTCTGGTTCATCCATTTCACTCAACAATCCGCTTTTTCCCTTCTCATTCTCTGTTGCCTCCATGCTTTTTCGGCCATGTGCATATGAAAACAAAGGCACTGCGCATGTGCGTTTCACCCATATTGTATCGCGTTTTCTTATCGTTGCTTAACATTGTACCGGTATTACCGTGAACGGTATAATATGGCCCGGCCCTATATCCGACCATTTATTAGAGACTGAAGGGCACTAGGATTCTGTAGCAGAATAATAATCCAAAACATACCAGCAAGTTCACCTTAAGAAAAACAAAATGAAGATTTCGCTGTGGCGTGTAAAAAGCCGGTTTTTCGAAAACCCTCTAATTAATGAATTACAACAGTTCTGCAAAGTTCAGTGGGCCAAATTCTCACTATGTAGAGACCTGTTTATGGTTCAGATCAAAATATATTTTCTCTGGTGATTGTTGTTTTAGAGAAGAAAAAAATTTCCATTTCTTTTTTTTAGACGTCCAACAACTACATGTCTGTGAGGAGGCGGCGGAGGAGGAGGAGCCACTCGCAAACCAGCCAATCTATAGCGAGGTGAGGAGCTCCAATGTAGACCAGGAGGACCCAGACTCTCCACAGATTAATGAGGAACAGGAGGATCTCTGCAGCAGTCAGAAGGGAGAGCAGCTGGGAGTGAAGCTGGAGCCTGATATCTTCATGGTGACTCCTGCTTATGAGGAAAGTGACCACAGTGAAGCAGAACCAAACAGTGAACAAATCTCTCACAGCTCTGCTGAGAGCCAAGATCAGGAAGAAAGTCACCATGTGGACTTGGGGTTACTTGAAAATGCAGAGTTGAAGAAGAGGAGACTTTGCAGAAAGAAAAGTGACAGTAAGAGAGTAAAAATGGCTGCTGTGTCAGAGAGTCAGGGTCAAAGTGGGACAAGAAAAAAGACTGAACAATGTGACATATGTGGAAAAGCTTTTCAGTTTAAATCACGCCTGATTGCACACGTTAGAGTTCACACAGGTGAGAAGCCTTATTTGTGTAGCACCTGTGGGAAAGTATTCAATTACAAGTCAAAATTGGTTGTTCACACAAGGGTTCACACAGGTGAGAAACCATATTCTTGTAGCATCTGTGGTAAAACGTTTCTCCTTAGATCCCTTCTGACTACACATTTTAGAGTTCACACAGGTGAGAAGCCATATTCCTGTAGCACCTGTGGGAAATTGTTTGCTTCCAACTCAAAAATGAATGCTCACAGAAGGGTTCATACAAGTGAGAAACCATATCCTTGTATGACATGCGGAAAAACTTTTAAGAGTACAAGCAACCTGAAAACACATGTCAAACTTCACACAGGTGAGAAACCTTACCCTTGTATCACCTGTGGGAAAGAATTTAGTCAATGGATTAACATGAAGCGTCACATGAGGTGTCACACAGGTGAGAAGCCATATAGTTGCAGCACTTGTGGGAAAAGATTCCCTCATCAATCAGGATTGAAAGCTCACACAAATTCACACAAGGGAATGAAGGCTGTAGAATCTGTGGAAAAGGATTTTGTTAATGAGATACGATAATTGATATTGCTTAAAAGTGTTATGTTTAGAAAATGTGGGACAG